CGTTGGCTCGTCGGTTTGTGCCGAGCTATGCTAGGGGACCTATAAGCAATTTTATATGCCTACAATAATGTCATCCTGTTATGATATGAGTATCAACAGTATATCAGAAGAAGATGGTGTGAAGATTTTTTTCATAAAGGACAAAAAGAGACATGGAAAAATATTTGAGGTAAAACTTAATAATGGATATTGAAACAATAAAAATTGAATCTATTTTCAATGCAATGAATCGCGATTCAGTGTTGTGAATCTCGATTCACAACACTTTTTCATCTTTTTCCTTCCTCTTGTGATCTGTTCATTGTCTTCATGCCTACTACGCTTTGATGTTTCCTCATCAGCCGGATTATTTAGGGGGTTAACGAGGTCATCGTCCCTGTTGGACCTCACATATCTTTTTTTCACAACCTTCTCCAGTGAGAAAAATAATATAATTAGATCAAATTATCCATCATTGAATACACAAAAAAAATTAAAGATTTTTAGTACACCAACCCTTTTCTTCTTCATCCTTTTTGGGGTCTGTTCATTGTCTTCATCCCTTGTACGCTTTAATGTTTCCTCACTGTCAGGATTATTTGGGGGGTTGATGAAGTCATCGTCACTGCTTTGCATGTACACAGTGCGTGTTTTCCTCTGTTGAGGTATAGGTGTAAATACCTCAACCATCTCAACACATGTTTTTTGTTTGTTTCTTGAACTAGATCGTAGACCTGCTAAACCGATGACAATTCATTTTTTAATGATACCAGACTTTAAACAATGCATGGCAAGCATGAATGTTTAATCACATTATTGAATATATATATTATAATCCATATCGCGATTCACTTCAGTGAATAGCGATTCACTGAAATGAATCTTGTTTCACTGCACTAAATCGCAATTCACTTGAGTGAATATCAATTCACTCCATTGAATCGTTGCAGTCAATAGTGTTTCACTGTAATGAATCGAGATTCACTTTAAGTGAATCTAGATTCACTACAGTGAATCGAGATTCACTACAGTGAATCGAGATTCACTAAAGTGAATCTAGATTCACTGCAGTGAATCTAGATTCACTGCAGTGAATCGAGATTCAACCAAATGTATTGAGATTTAGCAAAGTGAATCCAGATTCAACAAATTGTATCGAGCTTCAGCAAATTGAATCCAGATTCAATGATATGAAACCAACTCCATGACATACCATACATTCTTTCAGTGTCTCGTCCCTCAACACAACAAGGAAAAACTGATCATCGTTACAGTTTAATTTCACTGTTAGTATACATAAAGCATATAATTTTTCTATCCTATATACTTGGGCTCGGATCATATTTGGGAAAGTTTCCATCCTATATACTCGGCCTAGGATCATATTTGTTATTTTTTACAAACAAACAAACAATCATGATAAAGTTGAAGTTTAAAGAGCAATCATTTTTCCATAACTGGTAAGAACATCCAATATATAAATCTCAATTCTCTACGAAGAATCAGGATTCACATTAGTGAATCGAGATTCTCTATGTTTGAGTGAATACAGATTGACTCCACTAAATAGCTATTCACTTGAGTGAATAAAGATGCATCCAATGAATCGCGATTCACTCTAGTGAATCTCGATTCACTCTAGTGAATCTCGATTCACTCTAGTGAATCTCGTTTCACTCAAGTAAATCGAGGAGATTCAAGTAGAGTGCATATTGCAGAATCCAGACAACCAGAATTAATCGCTACCCATTTAGAACAAATGAAAAAATCTTACAGTATTAAGAAAAACTTAGTTTGTTTTAACAAGATAAAGGAAAATTTAAAAAATAAAAACCCTAAACTAGAACATGCATCGGTAACATTTTATAAAGCTAAAAAATAAAATAAAAAAGTATTCAACAACATGCAAGTGATTCATGTCTAAATTACGAACCTTTCCCACACTGAATCTATGAAAAATGTTCAAACTTTGATAAAAAAATTACATTTTTAATACGAGGGTTGGAATCGTTTTACCCCTTCTTGAAGACGAGGATTTTGGAGTCTCTGTGTTGTTTTTCTTCATCTCGATCGTCGAAGTCTTGCTGGTCGTCTTCGTTCGAGTTGTAATGAGATGTTGAAAGAAACCTAAGTGTTGAGAAATCAACGGAATGTGAAGAGTTTAGTTCTTGGGGTAAAGAGAAGATGAAACTGGATTCAAAATAGAGTGAAACTGAATCATTTTTTCCGTCGAAAGAAGTGTTCGACAGCTTCTGGTAATTAATTACAACGTGTTTCATTAATGCCGCTTTTCCTAAATTACCCCTTTTACTGGTATTTTGTCAGCTGATGTGTATTTACTTACAAGTACAAAAAATTATAAAAATGAAAGATGGTAAAAATAACTTCTTTATTAATAATCAGTAAATGCTTTACAAGTATAAATTTATTTCATAATTTGTCGCATCATAATAGATGAGTACATCCCAACTAGGTTGGTACATACTCACCTATATCACTATCATTTGTAACTTTTTCCGAAATAATTCATTACAAATTTAAAGTTAAGAAACAAAAATTATAATTTGACGAATATTATCTAATTTTTATACCTACCTGCTAGTCCTAACTCTTCAAATTTTATCTTCAATTCCAGCCATCCGATCGATGTCTTGCGTTCGCTCTCGTACCTCCACCAATCTTGTAAGCATATCATCGCTTGTACAGTATACGGATCTAAGCATGTCCTGTGGTCGTCGATCAAACATCCTGCTATGCTAAATACGGATTCTGAAGCTACCGTCGAAACCTGCACTGTTAGTAAGTCACGAATCATGGTGGAAAGTATAGAATATGAAACTGATCCATATACTCTCCACCATTATAAAATATCTAAAGTATTTCCTTGACATTTAACTAAAGAAGCAGATAAATATTAATCTATTTCAGAAACCTCTAATGCTGATCCAAGTCCAGATCCACCAGTTAGTTCAGCTACCATTGCATACCTATCAAAACTTACACTTTTACCTCGGCCTATGCTCGAAGGCACCGAAGCTGTAGACTGTTGTGTAGCTACACTATGTCTACCTGCATATTTATCATATAATGTTTGAAAAGAATTTTTAATAGCTAAATAATGAGAAGTAGCAGTAAGGGTGGATCCATCATCTAAGTCTATAATTTGTCCATCATATAATGATTATAACAAACTTCGAAGGCCAATATCCTTCAAACATGGATCAATAAGAATCATCAAACCAAAAATATGAGGAATAAGCCTAAAATGCTTATTAAATTTGCTTTCCATTTGAAAAATTATAGATCCAAAAGTATCATCCATACGATATTTTGGAAAAACTTTTGAATATTTAAAATTTGTAAAGCAGCTAAAGTAATTGTTGGATAATAACAGCCAGATAATACTAAAGTAATTGTTGGATAATAACAGCCAGATAATAACATTGTAGCATCATAAAAGACTTGTAACATCTCATTTAAATTACACAGCCAGATAATAACATTGTAGCATCATAAAAGACTTGTAACATCTCATTTAAATTACATATAATTATTCATTCATCTTCAGTTATTCCATAACTACTACCAGAACTAGAACTAGAAGTATAAAAAATTATAAAATTATTTATAATTTTTTATATTCTATTGTTGCACTTAACATTGCATAGGTGAAATTCCACCTATGGTCAACATCTTTTGGAATTAGTCTGGGCTTATAATTTTTTTCTTTTACAACATTGTTTCTATCTTTTAATTCTCATTTCAGAAGCATTATGCATATTAGCAACAGTTCTAACATTTTCTATCATGGGTTTAATTTCAGAAAATGCACTTTGAACAGTTAAATTTAAAATATAATAGATACATCTAATATGAAAAAGTTTACCATGATATGGCAATAATAAAGTTGTTTTGATAAAATCAACAGATACATTATTATTACTTGCATTATCTAGGGAAAAAGAGAAAATATTTTTTGATCTATTTCTAGTTTCATAAGTTCTTCAATTATTAAATTTGCAACATTAATACCAATATGTGACTCTTTAATTGTAATAAAAGAAACAACTCTTTTAAATATTTATCAATTTTCATCAATCCAGTGTGTTGTGATACATAAATAACAAGTTTGCACTCTAGATGTCCAAATATCAGAAGTTAAAAAAAATTTACGGTTTAAAATTTTAAAATAAGAAATTATTTTTCCTTGTTCCTCCTGATAATATTTTAAAATATCACGTTGATTTCCTTGTTCCTCCTGATAATATTTTAAAATATCACGTTGACAGGTTTGACGAGAAAATTTGGTAAATACAGGATAAAAACTATCGATAATATTTTAAAATATCACGTTGACAGGTTTGACGAGAAAATTTGGTAAATACAGGATAAAAACTATTTCTAAACAAATCTTCAAATTTATCATCTTCTACTAATCTAAAAGGAAGGTTTTTAAGAACGATAAACCTGATTACGCATTTCCTGACTCAGGCAGCGTCATAACTCCAATTACCGAGACCACCAGAGGAGGAGGATTGAGAAATCATAGATTATCGGATATCACCTTGAAGATTCTGGTCTTTGTTGTGTTTTTCAATATGGCGTTTGAGGTGGTTGGTGCCGCTCTTATGATGAGCTTGGAAAATCTGGCTGCACAACGCACATTTAGCCTTCTGGAAGATGATCCTACCGTGTTCATCCTTGGTGACGTCTATCTTCTCAAAAAAATTCCACACATCGGATCTTGGTATTTTAGGAGCTCTTGGTGCAAATTCGTCGCCACCAGATTTAGGATTAACACCGGTAGGAGGATGAGTTGTTGTAGGATGACTCATTTCTGGATCAGTAGGAGATAGATTTTGCTCTTCATATTCAGATCCAGAAGCCATTTGATGGAAGTATTAGAAAATATAAGAGATTATAAGAGATTATAAGAGACTATAATATTGTATAAGAGAGTATTTGAAAGAAATAAAAGAGTTTTGGTGTGAGTAGAAGAAGTGAAAACCATCATCTATTTATAAAGGTAACTCCCTAGGCAAATGACCAAAAAAATCTCACATTTTGATCGTTTTTAACCGTTGTTGGGGGCAAAACGGTCAAAACATTAATATGGCCGGGCCCGGGCCCGCCCGGCTCCAAAACAAGTCCAACGGTCACCTTTAGGTGACCGACCGTTGGGACCGGGCCGGTCCGGCCCGGCCGTTTACCACAAACGGTCACCTTCTGTTGACCGTTTCATCCGGGCCAGTCCCGGGCCCGGGCGGCCCGGCCCGGATCTCGTGCTCGCCTCGGCACTGTTCCAGGCCGGACCTGAGTTCGGACCGATTTCTGAAAAATCGACCCAGGCCTGGCCCGAGCATCCGGGCAAAACCCGGGCAGGGCGCGGAGCCGCCGGCTTTTTGGAGAACCCTAGGTACAATGGATATGCTTATCATTGACAAACTTGATGATTACTATAGTTTATATCCAATATAAAATTAACTCGCAATTAAGTACTTGAATGAAGTCATGCATCAATAATAAATCACTTGTCTTTGCCCTTTTTTCCAATGAGAAAGACAACTCTCTCCAAAAGGGTACAGTTAATTACTATGAATAGATTCCCTTCTACAAAAGTCAACTTAATATCTTAGCCATGGCTCGTACACTCCGCAATTGCCCAGCGTACAGAACAGGACTCATGAGTC